GTTGCTGCCGTGTGATATTCTTCTCGGGCCAGTAAAAAGATGTCAAGCAATATAATTTAGCAATGCACAAAATTCTATCACATCCGAGTAGCAGCATAAAATATGCACCAAGCCCAACAACCCCGTTGGCGCAATGGTAGCGCGTCAGCCTCCTATCCAGGCGAGCTGAAGGTTGCGGGTTCGAGTCCCGTGCGGGGTTGTCATTTTGTCTTTTGTCCTAATTTTGGATGATCTTTAAGTCTGATCCTGTTGGAGATTTGGGTAAGAGGTCAGAGAACACTGTAGCTAGCGCAGAGCCCTTCTCGTAAGGTGTAGGCAAAGCATACCGATACGCTAGAGGGCGAACAACGGGCTTGACTTGAAGAATTCACTTGAGTATCTTGAAAGGGAATCACTAGTTCGGTATATTTATTCACTAAAATCGTGTCTTTCGGATCAGTATGAGGTCGTGATTTGATTCATGAGGCTTATCCAATTTGTACTTTTAGAGTAGAGGAGGATTCAGGAACCAATCATATTGGAAAGATCGCCCTACCAGCGGCATGACTCGCCTCCAGGGCACCCGAAAGGCCATACTGAGTCTTGAACCCGTCCAATCGATGACTACCATCTGAAAACAGGTAGCACTACCTTGGCTCGAGGCAATGGTAGACCGTGCCAGGAAGAGCTCCCACATTCGGAACCAGCGCTGACCGTACTTGGCCTTGATTGTCTCTCCGTTCCCCAGCCAGTTGCGGCACCAACGCCAGAGAGTGCCTGCATTGTGCACACCAACAGTGTTGATGCTCCAATAGGTAGTCAGTATTCTATTCATCTGCGCACATCCCACTGAGAATCCAGAAAAGCATACCTTTTAATTTCCCACCCAGCACTCTCGAGGCAGCCGACGTAATTTGCTCGCGGGGTAGAGGCATCGGCTCCAGGAAAGATGTACTGGTTCAGGAACAGACCCCGGATAAAGTCCTCATACTGCCAAGCCTTACGCAGACCAGTGAGCTGGACATACATGGCCCCGTCATCCTCAAGCATGTCGTAGCACTGTCGGAAAAACGTCGTGAGCCTGCGGATCCCCACATGCTCGCCCATTTCGAGATGGGAGATCTTGTCAAACTTGCGCGTCGGGATATCTCGGTAGTCCATGAACAAGAGGTTGCTCTGACTCTTGGGAATGCCGGCGTGGCGGAGAGCGTTGTTTATGGCGCGGAACTTTGGTTGGAGTCAGCTCGAGCGTGTATCTTGGTTCAATAGCGATCAATTGACATTAGTTAACATCTATTGACTCTCAAGTTTGAGCTTCGACACTCGATATGCTGACATTGGTTGTATCTACGCCGCAATCGACCTTGGTGGTGAACCTCGAGGGTACAGCGGCGGGTGTGCTGATGAACGTGATGTCACCCTCCAGCTCCTCGCCTTGCGCCCTTGGCTGGGCTATGGCTGCAATTGGATTTACCGCTTGCTCAGCCCCAAGGGGTCTCCAGGAATCTAAGGGAAAAAACGGCAATCCTTGAGCAGTCAGCTATTGAACAGTAGTTGACTAATCGCCGAGTTTGGCCAGCAATGCAGTCAACGATGACGTTGAGCAAGCCACCAAAGGTTCCACGCCAGTAAGACTGGCTAAAATATTTAAATATGTGTGGTCTCGCGCTCGGCGATCACGTGTCTAACTCATGGGAGACCTAGCCTGAGGAAAAATACCACTGTCGGACACAATACAAAGGTCTTTTCACTACATTTGTAGCTTGCCATGTCGCAGATCCCTTGTGAGATGCTTCAAGATACTTCTTTGGTATCCTTTCCCAGCGGTGGCTGGCAGACTGAGGAGGGGCAATCTACAGAATCTCAGGTGTAATTGGTTTGAAGCAGGTCTCAACAGGAACTAATGAATTGGGGGGACACCGATGGCCTCCCCGAGAGTCCCGAGTCTTCGGCTGACGGGAGGCCGGCCTCCAGAAGGTGTGGACGAAGTTGCATTGCAGCCCCCTTTCCTAGACCATGTTTCAGGGACAGGCCATAGCAAAGGGGGGAAAGAAAGGCAAGCGGGCTGCTTACGTACGGTTTTAGGACCCAATTGTGGGTTTCGACGGCAATCTGAGCCTTGATAGTTGGAAGCTTCAAGATGCAAAATTTGTTGGCAACGTTCGCCTTAAGACTTTTTGATTTTCAGGAATGCTTTCGGATGAAAGTTTTCCTATTCAAATACGGAACCTTGATCAGATATCGAAGACTGGTGCAAAGAAGGAGACTACTCGCAGCAAGCAATGCAAGTCAGATGTTGGTCTTTCGGCACGCAATACCCCAATCAATACTCTTTCTTTTTGTCATGTGGCCTTCCTTTCATATTCCCATCATCCTATTGCCTATCAATCGACCCCTCATAGTCCTCTGTGGTGTCTCCTGTCCCACCGCTGCCGCCGTATCATTTTCTCTCTAGGGACGGACATTGATGAATTAGAATCTCTTGTGGCAGCTTTCATGTGATCTCTCAGCGAACCAGCTATCAAATTTGGAAATGTTGCATTATTCAACATCGTTAAGAAGGTGGTACTTTTTATCTCATACGCGGATCAGAGGTTGTGAATCCACAGAATGTAAGGAGCGTTTAATGACCTCTGTGATTCTAGGTTTGCCTTTGACAAGTCTCTAGAGATCTCATGAGCTACAACAACCGAGGATATCTCTACATAGTATCATTTACATTGAGATGACGCAGCAGTAGCCTCCTCGTTAGTACGGTTTCTTCAGCACTCGACGCTCGCTATTGCACTGTAGAGTATGTTGAGAAATCGGATCGCGTATGAGGTAGACGAACATTAGATTCCCAAGAAACCCACCTCTACATATTAGCTGTTTGGAAATTGTGAAGGCCTGGCGCGGGCGCGGGGTTCTCCAAGTTTGATTTCATAGCATCCAATGATCTCAACAGCACATCCAGATTTACCGCAAGATCCACTAGTACTGAAAACTTCGACGATGACCAGACTCATTCCAGCACCCTCGCTCAGTCGATGCTTCATAAACTGTGACGCATCCAGCTCGCATTATCGCCGATGTTCAATCAAGATACCGGCATACGAACTGCTCGACTTGCTAACAAAGCACCAATCCAGACCCTTGCTGTAACCCTGTAAGACCAGAGAGTTCTCGACCGCGCCCCAAGCTTATGTCGACAGTATGACACTTCGACGGTATAACACTTCAGCCCCTGCAGCTCAACATGCAAGCACTTAAGATCATTGCTGACATCCATACCCCGCTCCTGTTGATACGCCGCCATCTGGGGGCCACCGCCAACAGCACCCACGTTCCCAAAAACGAACATATCTCTCCCGCGTCCAACTTAGAGATCGAGGCTGACAGCAGCAAGCGATAGCGCAGCAGGAATGGCCTGGATGAACAGAATCTTGCGGTTGGCCGTGGCGGCACCGTACGAGCCAGCGACGGCGATGCAGCTCAGGAAGAAGAGACGAAGCTGCTTGGCGAAGCCGGCATCGGGGTGAACGAGACCCCACACGAGGCCGGCGGCGAGAAAGCCGTTATAGAGACCCTGGTTAGCGGCGAGGGCCTTTGTCTTTTCGGCAAATTCGGCCGTCAGATTGAAGGCCTTGCGACCGCGAGGAGAGGTCCAGAGGAACATCTCGAGGACGAGAATGTAGCCATGGAGGCCGGCCATGGCGCCGGTGGAGAGAGTGGAGAGAATGCCCATGTTTGCGGAGAGTAAATAGGCCGCGGATTCTGACGATGGAGCGGAATGGCGATTCGAAGCGTGGCGTTGCTTCAGCGTTGGGCGACTGGTCTGGATGATAATGATGAATGATGATGGGATGGCTGAGTTTGGAGACTTTTCGACCTCGGCTCGCAATGAGGAGGACACTGCAGATTCAGCTGATTCCGTGTCATGGAGCTTCCGCATGCGGATTCGGCTGCTTACTCAGCTGAATGACAAGTCCAATATGCATACGAGGTTATCACGAGTCATGATGCTGGCGCATTCCAGGAGGTCGCCTCCCGTTTGCTGTCATGTATTCATTTTTGTCTTCGTTCTGTTTTGATCTAAGCCCAATACTTACTTCTTCCGCATCACCCATGACTGCGCGTTGTATGCGTTCTTCACTAACGCCCTCTCATTAAAGCCGTACACGGCTTCTCGACCGCGCACCTTCTCATCAGCGAATGTCAGCTCGCCGCATGATTCCGGCGCGTCGACAAACTCGAATCCCATGGCATTCACGACAGCGATAATTTCGTCAAGGCTCAGCTGCACATACGGTCCTGTGCCGTATAGGAGCGGCCCAAGGTTGACCCAAATGCCACCTTTCCTGAGCAGCCCATGGATCGTCTCAAAGTAAGACATCAGGTTGCGCGCCGTGTCGATGAAGAAATGGGTGACGAGTGCATCGAAATGGCCATTCTGCCCCTTGAACACAGTTGTGAAGTCACCTTCGACCAGCACTACGGCGGAGGTGTTGACAGGCCTATCCGGGAAGGCGACGCCGCGGAACATGTCGGCGGTGGAAGCGTGATGCGACCAGCCGTCAATGAAAGGATGGACATTGTTTGAGCCCACACGAGGATGCTTCTCGAGGAAACGGTACGCGAGGTTCATGTACATGGACCACTCGTTGGTCGTGACCTCAAAGCCTATGCATCGTTCTGTCAGAAAAGCATCCGGAAATATAAGAGGAGGAGGAAGGATGGCGACTCACCACCAAGTGCGGCGACTTCATGACCCAGACGACCAACACCAGCACCGGGAAGCAACACCCTGACGTCGCCCTGTGAACGATCAGGGAAGTACTGCTCCAACGACTGAATAATGCAGGGGAACGCAGCATCCCTCTCGCGCAGGCCGCTCACCGTCCAGTCTCTGACGTAGTGCTTCAATGCCTGGCTCACGCTCACCCTCTCAGCCGCCTTGTTCTCCTTCTCCTTGGCTTCGATGTATCTCGTCATCTCGTCCCTCTCGACCCCATAGAACTCCAAAGCCCCATCGACAATCTGCTGACACAACACGTGGTTCTGCTCAATCAACGAAGCGACGGTGTCCATCTTCTTCGTGTAGCCAACCGCATGCTCGAGGACCTTCTTTTGCGACGAGGAGGTGTTCTTGTACATGCGACGCCATTTGTCAAGCTCGGCCGTTTGGCGCTCGCGGTATCGGACGTAGCCGTGCAGGGCGTCGAGGAGACGGGCACGAGGATGTGTTGTGTCCCATTTTCCGTGCGACTTGGACATGCGCTTCAGAAGAGCTTTGTGTTCGGCCTCATATCGGGGTGAAGGTTTGATCTCCTCGGCGAGGGTGACAATGACCTCGTGGACTTCGAAAAGGCCATCGATGGGGACCTGCTGGGGTCAGTATTGTGCTCTCCAGGGGACACCTGCAATACTTACTGCTGCCAGGTCTTCGTGGATGCCAATGGCAGTGTCGCCCTTTGCAACATCTTCCGCTGCCAAGGTTGCTTTGGCGCATGCCAGAACAGGTG